AAAGTAGAAAAAAAATTTTTTGCATATAAATTGATATTAGATACCGTAAACATTATAATAAGTAAAAATATGAAATTTGAGTATTTCAATTTTAAAATAAAAGAGAGAGAGGGAGAAAACTTTTCATTAAACATATTGAGAAATGGCGTCATAATATTTATTGGTAATGGCATGTCAGTAAATTTTGTTTGTTTCAATTTATTCGGTCATTGACATGTTTAGCGAACAGAAATTTCGCGATATATTTTACAAACGGTTTATGTACGTACGTCACTCTTCAAATGACTCGTAAAATTCAGCCAACAAAATTGCCGACTTCTCGCGGCATGCCGCGATATGTCCTACATCTTCGTCACATACCGCGACCGTAAAATTCAACTCCCTCTCATCCTCTGAAGGAAAAGCTATTTTCCTTAGAGCGTGGCATCTCACGTTGTCGCAATTGCGATGAATTATAGCGCACATATCTGCGTAACCAATTATATTAGCGTTGCAACACAGTGGCAATGCAAATATCGCTCGCGATAGTTTAGGAAGAGTATTTTATTCACGTGGAGCATTTCAACAGCCAGTTTTCAACAGCCACGGAAACAAATATCTGTTTCGCATTTTGATAACGAGCCATCGTTTTATACAGAGCGTGAAATATCATGTTTTAAATTTTTTTTTAAAAAGTACGTTAATTTATGATTTATAAACGATTACCAATAATATCGAGAAGTAACATTTTTAATCGACTGACCTTTTAAAGTGATATATTGATTAAAATAGAAAGCAATATATTTATTGATAACTGTCCGCATTGCTGCTTTGTGACTGTCACGCACTTATAAAAATTGATAGATACCTATAATATTTTGTGTCACGAAGGAAAGATAATTTTTCTATAGAATATTGCAGCATTACGCATTGTAGAAATGTCGAAGCATTTCCGAAGCGCGAAGATCGCGGAACCATTTTTAGTCGCGTCTGTCACCGCGGGAATGTCAGATAAATCGATCAGCGGCTTTCATAAGACGCGTTTTTCCTACCTTCCATTTGGCCTCATAAAATTCACATAACCAAGTTACATTAGATGATACTAGCTACTATTGCTACTGCTGCTGCTGCCAGCCGCGAATTTAAATTCAATACGCAGAGGTTCTTCTCGCGCTAGAGGCGGGCGAACTTTTCTCGTAAGTCAGTTTCTTTGTATCGTTCACCAGACACGAGCATCGTATTGAATCTCTCTTTGTCTCGAAGTGCCTCTTCTGCATCGCAATTGCAATTACATAATGGCCATATGATACATTACAATGTGTAATATTTTCTTTTGCAAACCGGACAAAGGCTGCAGGCACTCTACGTAAACAAAACTATATTAAAATATATTAAATATAATACATAATACGTAAAAATGTAATACCAACCACGAGAGAGTGAATTTCATGATTATAATTAGGGCTCAGACAAAAAATTCGAACATGTTGAATATTTGATCTATTCGAATAGCTCGAAGTTGAAAAAAATGAGCATCTAATTCGAATATTTCGGACAGTTCGAACAGTTCGAGCTTAAACAGTGATCAGTATGAAATGTCAATTTATTATGAAGTTCGGACGATTCGGACAGTAAACAAATATAATATGCCTTGAAAACAAAAGAGCAGTTTTTTACGAATATTTTCATAGTTTTGTTTTATAAAATTAAAAATCGATTTTATTTATTTTTGCAATTTCTTATAGTTTAATATTTTAAAGTGCACTTAAAAGCCGTTGTGCACAAGCCGACGTAAAGATTTACTCGTACAATTAGCATATTAGTTTATTAGAAATAATTTTTTTCGTTTTTACTACACTCAAACGTCTTTTTTACATCCAAAAAACAATTTTCGATTTTTTCAACCCGTCACATTAGGAAAGTTATTACACATGTGTAATAACGTTACATATGTAACGGAATGTAATTGAATGTGCATATTAAATTTAAATAAAATTTCTATATTTATTGATATCGTCCTACAAATATCCTGAGCTATCCTGGACATATTCAGGTTGATCCTGAGAACGACTTGTGATGTCCGAATTCGAAATGTAATAAATTCGAACTTTCAGCTCTGAAGTGGGTTAAAATAATTCGAACATTCAGACCGAACCTATTTAACGTTCGAATTTGAGATTCGAACTGTCCGAACTGTCAAATCGTCTGATGTTTCCGAGCACTAAATTGAAATATCTTTGTACAGAGAGAGATCGGTTTTGAGGATTTAAATATTTAGGTAGATATAGATTTTGAAAATATATAATATATATATATATATACACCATGTATACACACACACACACACACACATATGTATATATATATATATATATATATATAGATATACAGAGTGTTTTCAAATTAGCGCCCGCGAAGTACAAGACGTGATACTTTATGTTAAAACAAATAACTTTTTCCTTTAACGAAATTGCGTCCGATAAATAATTTTTGCGCTTATTTATTGACTTCAACCTGCTCTCCTGCAAAAACTACTTATCGGATGCAATTTTGCTAAAGGAAAAAGTTGTTTTTTGTGCTAAAACGAACCACTTTTTCCTGTAGTAAAATTACATTCGATAAATAATTTTTGCGTTTACCTCGTACAATTTCAACCTGCTCTCTTGCAAAAATAACTTGTCAAACGCAATTTTGCAAAAGGAAAAAATTGTTTCCTTTAACGTAAAGTATGACGTCTTGTACTTCGGGGGCACGAATTTGAAAACACCCTGTATATATAATTCTATTGGAGCATCAAAATAATTATGTACGAATCTCAAGCATGATAAGTAATGCTGCAAAAAGTTTTGGCATTCTAGTAACCAGTTTGAGCGTTTTACATAATTATTTTGATAGCCTAATAAAATTATTTTCAGATCTGATCTAAATTTTTAGATACTTCAGCAAAATTATTCTTTCCATATACTTTCTTGATAAACATTAAATATTATAATAATAAAATGGGATACGACAATTACGTTTATCGCTTATAAAGCTTTATTTTTTAACAAATAAAACTATTATATGTAGAGTACTTTTTTATATTGATTGAAATATCGGTTCACAAGAAAGATCACATAGATCGAAGCTATAGTTATTAAATCGTACGCGGAATGCTACGGTAAAATGTGCAAATTCGTTCACAAAGGTAAGTGTTAAAAGTAACAGGAATTCAGTTTCCAATATTAAATCCTGCTATAGCAGTGATTGTTCGACCACGGCGAGAAAAAATATAGTCGATACAATTTCCATCACATAGCTTACCAATTTCCTGTATTGCCTTCACTACTGTCGCAATTTGGAAATTCTTGGATCTTACTGCATGAGATATAAAATTGTTATATATTTTTTATATGAATAAAACACGTTCACGATTAAATACATGTTATATATCATTTATTTGATAGTTAATAATGTACTAGTGTGCAGCAGAACATTATAAAATTATCAAAATAAATATATATATAATTTATATGTATATATTTATTAATATTACCTATTTGTAACAGCATGAGACTATTAATATTTAATCCTAAATGATAATAACAGATGATAAAACTATCTACTTTTTTTACTACGGTTAATAGAAAAGTGTATCTTTACGCCACATATTGAAGTAAAAATATAGGTCTTGTAGGCAGAAAATATTAAAAAAAAAGAATGACGTACTATTTCACACAAAACGAGCGACATTTCCGGCAATTTCACTGTATCGTTTATTCGCAAAATATAGGTTCCGAGATAAAGTTCGCCGGGAAACTATTTCACGAGCGACAGGTGTTAATTCCGCGTTGATTACTTTTACATCGTAAACCGGCTAAATGTTGTCGATTCGGATTGTTACAGCCTGCGAAATACATGCACCGCAATGGGATCCCATTAACAAACTATTTAAATTCCACAAATTAATTTAGTCCCGCCGCTGAATATGTTAACAGTGATTTCTATATATGTGGAGTATATATATAGAGATATGCTTGATCTCTTAAATTTCTCTCAAACGAGTCATTTTATCACTGCTAGTATCATATCTTTTTATCATTTCATTATCGTTACATTGTGCGCAAATATCGTGTTGTTACGTTAATAAAAATAATGCAGGTAACTGCAACAATACTGAGACAAATATATTTTTAGAATTTATAGACATCTCGGAAATGTGAGAAAATTGCTTGGAATGTTTCGTCGCTAACTCGTTTATCACTTTTGAGCGTTTCGCAAAAAATCCACCGGTACTTAGGCATTCGTGCATAGTGCACGATAGTTTCTGTTATGAGATAGCTGGATGCCCATAACGCCAAACTTTCTACAAAGGCCCGTTTTTTTCCATGAATATATAACACGACATAAAATATCCCGCATATCCGGTGCGTATCGTAGTAAAAGCCTCGGGATATTTTCACGAAACTACTGCGACTTTCCAATTTACTCTGACGAAAATTGACTAACCAATCTTAATACGCAATATGTTTAAATGATACTTAAAATAAAACTCACAACGCTCTTTTTTTAAATATAATTATGTTAAACGCCTTTTCTCCTACGATTATCTCTAATTCATCTAATAAACACTTAAATCTTAAAGGGGAGGGAATGGTGCTGGATGGAAAAATATAATTGTTTTTATAGCAATTGAGTTGTTAATCACGTATTTTGACAATTTAATTCGATACAAACTAAAAATTTACAACACAAACAATATCTTTATTTAAAAAAACAAAGAGATAAAAAAATATTAATTTTTGGTAAAATATAATAAAATCGTCTCATTTATCTTTACAGTGATTCCTTAACAGCACAATTGCACATGCTAAAGACAACTATATTTTTCGATCTGTCACCGTGACATCCCTAAACTCTAGAATCAATACTTTCACTTTAAAGAATTATTTGCTCCAGCAAAACTTCCAACGACAAAGCAGAGTGAAGTGGAGAATGAGAATCGTATTGAATTAGCGCGCGATCATTATTGTTTGTTTCAGTGACGGGGCTAGAGCCAGACTTCGCTTACCCGCTGGAGAACGTAACGATCCCGCAAGGTCGAGACGCTACCTTCACCTGCGTGGTGAACAACCTCGGTGGATACCGGGTGAGTCCTTCCTCCTCCGCGAGCGGAGATCACTCTGGCAGCGTCAAGGGTAACGCCCGGGTAACTATTTTACCATTAACCTGTGTCCGCCTGTAATGGACTACTACCTTATCTACTACTACCTACTACTACTAACTCTACTACTGTCACTACTACTGCACCACCTATATGCGCGCGTGCCTGCACTTCACAGCACTGCATTTAACTGCACTACCGCCAGCTATGAAAAATGAGAAATATATATATATATATATATATATAAAGTATATATACTACCACAGTCGCCAGAGCAGCCACCATCACTAACCATCTCTCTGTACGACATCCATTTTCATCTATCAGTCCGTATACAGGTACTGCTCGACTACGACGCAGCAACCGAAGTTTCATAGTCTCTTCACGTTCCTCCTGTCTCATTCTCTTCGTTCACTTCGTCTGAGAAATACCGACAATTCACACCGAAGAGAGAGAAAGAAAGAGAGAGAGAAAGGATTCTTCCATGCGAAATTATTCACTAAATGGTTAATGGTGCCTTCACGCGGTGAAAGAATGCGTATCGTTATCCGCGTTATTATAACCAATAACTATGTACGTCTAGTCATTATTAAACAAGATGCGCTGTAAAATAACGGCTTTCCCGTTTTGTTCGCGTCGTTGGATTATGCATGCGAGTTACCGCAACTAAGATGATGGAGTTGTAGTTATCGCGAAATGTACGCTCGCGTTTCATGTTTTAAGATGGCATCTTCTCCCTAATGTTCTAGAGTGATTTGAAACGCAAAGTAGATCAAACGTTTATCGAGATCGGTGTTATCAATATTAACACGTCGCGTAGCCAAGATGAAATTTATTCGGATCGATCTATCGATCTCCACCTTTGTCCTTTCTCTGAAAAGAATTCGAATCGCGAGAGGATGAATGGATACAAAAAAGCCGATCTATCGTTGCAGCTATTGTTTTTTTTTTTTTTTTTTGACAATGGCTTTCGGGCACATTGCCCACTCCTATTTCCATGGAGTGATGCTTTCCAAAAGACCACGTCCAATATTACTGGCGCAAAAATTTCTTCGGTTTCTCCCAGTGGACGTCCGAGATAAGATCACAAGCATCGTGCATTGATTTTATTAAAATATATACATATATATGTTAAAATATTTATTATTACTTAGAATTTATTTCAACGCAGAAAATATTGATGTTTGAGTAGTTCTCTCACGGTTAATTTTCTGTCTACCAACAGTCAGGAAAATTAGAAATTTATTTTCGTAAAAATAATAACACAGATTAATTTTTTTCAGTTGAATATAATTATCAATTTTATCAAGTGTCGACAAAATAATTTAATAAAGTTATCGCAACAAAAACTTTAAATTGGATAGCGAAATGTGTCACATCAAGTAATAATAATTATTTAATAAATATGCAAATTTCTGATACACAGATGTTTTAATCTCAATTGAATTTTATATGAAATTTTTAATAACTTTTTCTGGCTCGTTATTTTTGAACGGATTGCTCGTTATTTGCACTTTTTTCGGAACACCCTGTAGAGAGCTTAGAGCCGCGTGTAATTGCGTAAGTTTCGCTTTACACTTCCTGGTAATAGCGCGATCCCAGCAATGGAAGGAAGATTGATCAAGGCCGGCACACAGTGCCGCTATATGTAGCGAAATTGATTTCACGCGAGAACATATCGCCGATGTGGCGTATTAAGCGCTTTACGGCTCCACTTGTTGAACCGATAACTTCCCGATAGCCGAGGGTTCCCTTCCTCTCATGTCGTGGAGACCTCTCGCCGGGGAAAGAAATTTCGGCACCGCGCGCGCGACCGTCGTAGGTTTTAATTAAACTTGGCACTGTCAGAGTTTATAACATGTTGGAAAATGCGATTACTTCCGGCAATGCGCTCACCCGCGTTTCAACTTCTTTCTTTTAACACGGTCGGACAATCCTCCACGCGGGAGTTTACGTCCTTTTCTAATAAGGATCATTGCGACGGTTTCATTATTTCTTTTCTTTGTTCTTCTACATTATTAAACGTATAGAAATCTATGAGCGAGAGGGAAATTTTGCTTCGTAGAGATTCGCGATTACTTCCGTCAATCTTTCACAAACCTTTCACAAGTCTCGCAACTAAAAATATTTCAGAGAATATTTCAGATTGAAAATAATGATACCCTGAGTGTTCATTTCATAAAATCGATAAAGCTTCTTTTTTCTATATTCTTACTTTATTAGTTGTAATAAATAATTCAAAATTTTTACGAAATTATTTACAACAAAAAAATGTGTTATATTCGTGTATTTCGATTTTATTTTTATATGAAAATGGAAAATTGTTTTTCTCTGTAACATGTGAGATATTTTTTTAAAACTGAAATAATATGTTTATTGTCTAAAAAAAATAAAATTCTAACCGATAAAATTTTCTTATTAAAACGCAAAGTACACATTTCGTTGATATTAATATGAAATCATTCTGCTTTGCCATCTTTGAAAATTTGAACAATTTCGATTATCGTGATTTTAACAACGTATTTACAACTTTCGAGCATTCGCAAACTAAAAAAAACACCAGAAAATACGATAATCGCGTAATTATTGCAAAAGAAACATTTCGCCTGTATACATCGTGCATAATGATAAAATCTGGGAGATATGTTCATGCATAATTTATCATCGCGATCGATCAGTAACCACTCATGTGCCGTTAATTCCATCGATTAATTCGTAGCTCTTGATTTTGATCGTTACCAGAATCGCTCCGTATCCATACAATTATCAGCCACATAAAGCAATTGATAAACAAATATCTATGCTACAAATATCATATTTTCGTCATCAGACTGATCTTTATTTACATTTGAAGCTAACATGTGTATTGACAAAACTATTGATAAAAAAATTTCGCTTCTTCTTATTCCTATAACTTTTCTTGCAAGACCAAAGAGCTCTTGAAGACGATTAGCGGATTCTCTGTCGAATCGAGTTTCACTCCTCGTCGACTTGAATAGAAACTGACGGAACGATAACGTCCAAATTAACATTAAACGCGCAACGAGTGCACTGCTTACAACTTGTATGCCCTATGCTCTAAGCGAATCTTGCGGATTGACCAGTGCGAGCCCGAGCCTACAGCAAAGATGTTGAGGCCTAGTATCCGGCTTTTCCGCTTGTTAGATTTAAGCTCGATGCTTAATCGCACCCGCTGGGAAACCGAGGTAGTTCGGCGATTGGCCCTAGGCAACAGCATCTGCCTTTGCTTTAAACGACAAATTAACGAATGCAACAGTGCATCATATATCGCAAAAAAATAGCTGAAATATTTATACACAACAATCTTCTATAACTTACAAACTCAAATCTTATATATTAATTGTTATTATATCTTTAATTACAGTGATTTTGTTTAATAGTGTTTTTGAAGATGTATAATTTTATGACAATCTTAGCTTACTACTTGTTTTAATACGCAATACTTTATAATTTATATAAAAAAAAAAAAGTAGATTCTGTTGCCTCGTTGGATAAAAGCATATTTGGAAATCTGGAGACGAGAAGTTTCGAAAAATAGTTTCAAAACAGAAATGATGGGCATGAAACAATGACAGATAAAATCAATAATTATAAGCGTTAGGCGTAATTACTTCCAGCTTCGAGCACATTCGTGCTAAACGAACACAATATAATTTTCATTCAAACATCTTGTCATTTCAGAATATATCTCGATTCTTTATCCGACATAACGACTCTTTCTCATTTCGAGCGAATTACAATTACTTATATTCGTCATTGCATCAATTTCCCAAAATCGACATCACGATAAACGTTCCGTGCCCTGCCCCTACGATACGAAAACATTCAGGTCCACATTGGCTTATCCACGAATGCACAATTTCTATTTGCACATGTGTCTGTTTACAATGCATAAAACGCACTTGAGATTTGAATGTTCGTGCGAAATGAAATATGGTGCAAGCTGCATTGGAGAAGGATTGAGATGCACATTGTTCGGACGTGTTATGCGCCCTGAGTAATTGCCGAATCCGAGGAACGAGACGTGCTGGATACGTATTGTTCTTAGCGTGTCACTGAATTCCTGTCTATATGCGAGAGGCATGCCAATGATGCATGAATATATGATAACGGAGAGTATACGAGGTTGCATGAGCATGTTTTTAACAGTAATCTATAGAGAGATAAAGGAGATATGTAACTTAATATTAGAGTTTAGATTGGTGATGATAGGTCGGGTTTTAGCAGAAGCAATCAATTTTAGCGATTCAGTTAGAGACTAATGAATATCTTTTTCTTTTCGTATGAGCTTCGATTGTATCAAGATTATGCATAAATGTTTTCCATATATCATAGGACGTGTTGTCAAATTAATAAAGTTAAGAGTAGGGAAAATAAATCGAGAATAACAAGCGTAACCAAAGATTTAGAAATTATGTTTACACGAATAAATTTTGTAAACGTTCTCGTCGAATATTTAATGTTAAATGTGCAATTTTCTTCGTTCATTTACATCGATTGCGTTACTCCCGAGGCGAGTAATCTCAAGCCGGATCCAGATCAAGTAGACGAGGTGCAAACAAACGCCAATGAACAGCGTTCTCACTTTAGCGAGAGAGCAGCATCGCCAATGCTTATCGAAGCGAGTGGTTTATTCGCGCTCGTTCACGCTTGTTTGCTTCAAGCTGGGTCCAGCTTACAGCGTATTCGATGCGCTTTTACGCAAAATGCGAACGAGACCAACGCTTTTATTCGTATCACCCGGTACGTTCGTAGAGCGTACGCTAGAACGAGTAATCTCGTCCGAAACGTGCGTGTCGCGTGGATCGGTTAATCGTTTGAATTCCGCGCACGCGGCTACACGGATGAGTGCGTTTCGTTGTACCGTTGAGCGTGCCGTACCGTGCCAAACCGTACCATGCCGCGCCGCGACGCTCGGCGTTGTGCTCTGCCATAAAATCTAACATTTAACCGTTATCGTGTTCTTGGACACTGCGCTCAAATTTCACGCACATCCGCGATGAAACAAGCAATGTACTTACAATAAACAATTACGTTTATAAATATACAGAACACGCTCTCAAATTATCACCGCCATGATAATACTTGACCATGAATTTCAGAGTAATTTAATTTAGATTAATTTTATTGGACAATTTTGTTCTTTTCTATTTATTTTCTTTTTTACTTTAATTGTTAAATATTGTGCAGAAATCAAATAAATTGTAAAAATAGACCTGTAGTGTTCGTATATAAGGTTAACATTCTCGAATCAATACTTTCTTTCAAATTTAATGTTAAATTTGAATAATATATATTATTGGTATTATATAATATGTACGTATTGCTATAGAGATACATATTCTTAAAGTTCCAAGTACAAAGAAGAAGTTTTTTATTGTTAAATTATCTCACAGAAATTTTCCTTTTCACGGACTGAAGATACAAGTCTTAGTAGATGTAATGATAGAGAAAAATGTCTCGAAAAAGTTATCGAAGGACGAAAACGGGCAAGAAAGGAGTGCGAAAAGAAAAAAATAATCACACACATACAAAGATAATTAATAATAAAATAATACTCTAGTATTTCGATCCCCAACAGCACAAAGTCATGATATTGAAGAAGATGTAGAAAGCAAGGAGATAACTCCAACCGAGTTGTCCAACAGTGAGCATCGGGATGGGAGGCAAGAAGGAGGGGAGCCACGAAAGTTTTAATTAGCGAATTTATCCATTTATATATATATACTATACGCCGCTAAAAAAGGGAACAATCGTACTCTGTCGGTCGAAAGTCAAGAAAATAAGAACTCAAGAACGAGTCGCGTTATGTAAGTGGGTGACGACGCTGGAAAGCTACGAATAAAACGCGAAAGATGAGAAAGGATGAAGAGTTAGGTGAGCCATGGTGAGGGGTTCTGAAGAGGCGCGGAGGAGATGGCGGGAAATAAACGAGGTGTGGTAGACTGGACCGAGGCTCCCGATCCCACAATGCGCCACAATGGAGCGCCGACGATGGTTTTGCATATGAAAGAGGACCGAGAATGGAGGGAACGTGAAGCCAAAGGCCGGGGGAAGGGGTAGTAGGTGTACGTAACGCGATATTATATCGGACTAGGAAGGTTAACCCACCCCCTCGCCGTCGCTCTCTCTCATCCCCGAATCTCTTTACGTCTATCTATCCGTCTGTTCCGTTACCACCGTGGGTTCCTTCGCGGTTTCTCCTCCTTAAAGGTCCACGAAGATCGGAGGGCTGGAGGAGGAAGAGGGAGGAAAATCGTAAGCCGACTCTGTACCTACTCTGGGAGGAAACTGCATTAGATAAAGAGAACGTTTTTGCATTAAGATAGAGGCTCGTTTCCATACAAGGCACGACGTGCCCTTTAAGATCTCGGTCGCCCTCTCCCATCTTCCTCCCTACTTTAAATCCTTTGCTTTCTTCATTGTGCTGCAAATTCGTGACCCACTCTTGCTCGAAAAGACATGTGCACGATGCTGCGTGTCCCAAAGAGGGAAAGGGAAAAATGACGGTTTTCGTTTTGGTGTACAGGATTTTCCTTTTTGAGGGCGCAGCAGGATCGCGAGATCGCTCGGTTTTCGAGTTTCAACTTTCGGATACGAAGCGGATACGTATTGTGCACGCCTTCGAGTTGCCGCCGTAGTTGCTCGCACGATACTATCCGACTCGCGTTGCTATGGATACGTTCTTTCACTTCTGAAAGCGATTTTCATATCGCATATTCATGAAAAATCTGTTACAGAGTTTTGCGAAGAGCTTCACGAAGAAATTATTTGCTGATTCCCTTTATTTGACAATAACTGAAAGATAATTTCTTTTCAATTTCGTATTGTTGTACTGATACTTTCTAGATACTCTAGATATTTCCAGATAACTAGATAATATATTTAATGTCTATAGGAGGGGGGAGGTGGAGGGAGGCTCCCATAGACATTAACTATAATATAAACATTTTATAAGTTTCATAAATTTCATTTTTTATCCCCTATGTTTTATTCATTTCTAAAGCGTATTTTTAACATTTTAATTTCGAAAAGCTTAAAATACACGTACATTGTTCCGCACACAAGAATGTTTTCAGCTTTTCTTCTTTTTCCTTCCTTCTTCCATTTCAGTCCACAACAATTAATCATCAGGGAAATGAATTGACGGCAATATGACATAAATGTTTGAGAGTCGCAAGCATCTGTCGGTCGCGGCGACTTTTTCGTTCCCCCCTTTGGGATGCAAGAGGGCTTTACCACCCCTCATACCCTCGGAACGTCGCAAGGCGCACCGAAAGGGAGAATGGGGTCGTGCTTATACTCCGGCATAATATATTATAAGTGGAGGCACTCACAAGGCCGTCACTACCAAACACTCGCACCCTCTCGCATCCCAACCGCCCTCATAGTCGTCCTCCTCTCTTCGCCCTCCGCGTCCGCTCTCTATACACTCCGTTCGCGGGTTATCGATAAGAACCGCGGAACTCCTTTGTCGGTTGATAGATAGCCTTTCAGAGCGATGCGAGGTCAGATATTCGACATGGTACAGGTTCAATTTCATGCCAATAATATCTGTGCAGAGAGAGGCGAATAAGGCAGAGAGCAGGAGATGGGAGAAGGATGAATATTCGTGATACGCCACACTGCAGTTTCCTCTTTCAGGATAGCTTCGGCCAGAATGTGAAGCAGAATGACGATTAATATGTGTTAACCAGACACGATTGCATTTTCACGCCCCTTTCTCCGCCCGACCTCTCTTCCACTCCCCCTCCCTCCTTTTTTTTCATTGATTTTAATCCGTAAAAAATGGGTTTAATTAATGGCGTATATCAGCGGCTTGGAGCGAACTGCAATAACCGGTGAGAGTTCAATTTAGCGTTGATGATACGAAGGATCGCGAGCGAAAGCGCGGTAACCCACATTCAGAATAGTCACGATAGTTACTTCAGAAGTAATATAACTTGCGGAACATTCACGAGAGCGTGAAGAACTTGTAATAAATTATACCAATATGGCAAGATCACAGGCGAAATATGTGTGTTTGGTCGACATTTATTTCTATCCTATTTACTATTTTTATATCCAATATGAAGCTCACTCGAGTTTTTGATGTAAACATAATGTTACATCCTGTGAGAGTAAAACACCTGAACTTTGCTACTAAACCGTTATCTCCCGTGGCTACCTTTCTTTATTTTTCTGAAAAGTTACGTTCTATGGGTTATCGTGTTCTTGCTCGCGGAATTCTTCATATTTACACAGTGGCAGACCGTCGCGGCGCGCAACGGTACAGTTTTCTAGTCGAGGGATGTGGCGGAGAAACCGTAGCACAGACTTCGCCATAAAGAGAAGATTCCTTCGTAGAATATACCGGCTTTTGATGCCTGCCTTCGAGGCGATGTATATACGAATATTTCATTCATTCGCGAATAGAAAGCGTCTCGTGTTTATATCTCTCTTTCTGCACAAAGTCTCGCAGACGTTATCGTAATCGAGTTCATATTTGAATCGCGACAGAAAGGTTATGATTGTACTTCCGAATATTTCAAAAGTAACTGACGTAGAGGGAAACCCGGGAAAAGCGATAGGAAAGTACTTTAGGTTAGTTGAAAGTTGGATTCTTCTTCAACATCGGTGGACGGAATAACTCTAGAACTTTACTTAGTAATTAACTCTTTCGGTATTTATGTTCGGCATATTAAGGCACATTAAACGTTCCTTGTGCTCATTTTTACATTAACCTTTTAGTGGCAACTGAACGCTGCAAATTTGCAAGGTTCATTTTGAAATTAAATTCCAGATAAATTCGGGGTAAATTCGAGATCTGTGAAATAAGTTACATTTAAGATCTAAAGATGGAAATGTATGTATTATAAAACATTGAAATATAGTACTTCTGCTTGTCAAGATTATATATTGATATAAATGTCCATAGATTCTCCACTTACAAGAGTTAGAATTAGTCAGTTTTAGCAACAGCAATAAAAAAAATTGTCTTTTAATGACAAAGTTGTCTTTTAATGTCAACACCGTTCTTAAAGAATTAAAAACTTTTACTTTAATTACATCAAAAATAAATCTAATCTAATAGATAAATCTAATCTAATAGATACCGAAAGAATTGATTAAAGTATAGGTTATGGAAGCTATAAAAAAATGTGGCTTAACAGCACTTTCACGAAATATCTCTCGAGGTAGATTCCGGTTAGATCCGCGACAAGAAGAAATAGCTAATTAATGGGTTACGCACGGCGATAAGATTAGGTAGGCTTTGGGAAGGCGGGGAAACGGTTACGAATCGGTCTCTAAGAAATGGGTTTGTGAGGCCAGGTGGCGTGGATTAAAGCAGACACCAAGGCGATCCTAGCGATTCATGAGCACGTGATCACGAACAACGCCCGTCTGTCGGTGACCCACAGCGACTACAACACGTGGACGTTGAACATTCGCAGTGCACGCCGGGAAGATCGCGGAATTTATATGTGCCAGGTCAACACGGATCCCATGAAGAGCCAGGTATGCAGTATTTCCCTACATATAAAATTTGATTTTTACAAAAATAACTTATTTCTCGCGAAGAATAATTCCACATGCACGCGCGTGCGCGCACACACACATCTTTTTCAAAATTATATTACAAATGCACAGATATATGTAATAATTAATGATTATCACGAAATTATCGAGCGAATAGAGTATTTCTGTAACGCGAAAATTACTTCAAGTTCACTGATTTATAATTGCGACTTCAGACTCGGAGTTCTCCGCTTTAATCCGGTTGGTGGTTTCGTTGTATATTTCGTAATTTCACTCCATATTCTCTCTTCGGTGTACACGCATATACACACGCAGATACGCTATAATTTATCTCCTCCGCATTCGCAGAGCGCGTTTTTGGAGGTGGTAATACCGCCAGACATCATCTCAGAGGAAACCTCGAACGACATGATGGTTCCCGAGGGAGGTGCCGCGAAGCTGGTGTGCAAAGCGCGCGGTTATCCCAAGCCTGACATCGTGTGGAAGCGAGAAGACGGCGCCGAAATCATTTCGCGTTCCGGTCCTGGCAAGACAAAAAGTAAGGTTTCCAAGTTTTATTTCGCGCCAGTCAATCGCTTACTTCTCCTTTGGGAGCGATATGACGACGTACTGCGATATCAAAAGCTTTCTTCGCGGATGCGAATTTGTCGGCGCAATTAAAACTGTTCCCATCAGAATAGTTTACGAGCGACGAGGATCGAAATTTAATTTGCAATTAGGTCACTAACACATCCGACACATATAAATAAATTAATTTGGAGAATTATGTTTCGTCTTTGATAAACTAATTAAATTCCAGATTCTAGTCGATAATTTGAGAAAACGTTGAAATATGTATTATTAACTTACTAATACATCTTCATTTACAAAATTAACTTGTATTCAATGCTATAGTTAATCCTTTGTGAACTAGTGATCCCATTTGGAATCATCCTCTTTTATTTTATAAATTGCTTGATTTGTGTGAAACTTAGCTTTTGGAGTAATTTGATAATACTTTATTCAAATCTCTCTGAGGTCAAAAATAAAAAATTCAAAGTAATAGTAAAAAATTCAAAATATAACGTGAATTTTGAAACATAATTTTTTATTATAAAACTCAGTTTTAGGGAATTTTTAATTGCAAAGTAACATCAAGTTTCTAATTTCGCTTTGTTTGGAACTCATCAGTGCAGTGTTGCGCACACAGTTAGTATTGATTTCTAAACTGACTTCCGAACTCTAATTTTGAGCACTGTAACACTGGATAGATCTTTCTTCATTAAAGCTACTATCCTTTTGAAATTCGATGTTTTTAGGCTATATTTGAACTCGATGATCTCCAAAAATAGAGTTTCACAATAATTAGATAGTTTCTTTGAAATCTTATGTAATTTTAGATTTTTGGGGTCAAAATCGAATTTAATGACCCCAAATGAGCTTCTATAAGTTATTTTATTAGAGAACTCCAGTCCTCAAAAGGTTAAATTATAATAGATCATATCGAAAATAGATTTAATGTGCGATAACAGCGAATTTCGACGTGGACATTTACGCGTCTGTACTAGTTTAATCTGTTAAGTCGATCGGGTATTAATGTTGCACACTTTGATTACGTGTAACGAGCTAACTTCTGAGACCGCCCCTCGTGTTTGCATATTGCAGTACCCAGTGCAGAGGGCGAAGTGCTGACTTTGTCGAAAGTAACGAGGGGCGAGATGGGCGCCTACCTATGCATCGCCAGCAATGGAGTGCCTCCGTCAGTCAGCAAACGAATGATGCTGCACGTGCATTGTAAGTACATACCGTTCTACTTGGATATCTTCGCCACAAAAAATATTTTTTGTAGTCACGAATATAATATATGTTCCGACATTAGTTTTACCAATATTTTTGTGATATACGTTTTAAAATATATATTTTCAAAGTAATATTAACACAGACTATTGTACTTTTATCTCTATTAAGTAGATCTTTTGACCAATTTGAAGTCAATTTTTGTCACGGAAATATTTACATAAAATTTCTTATGTAATTGTCTCATTGTGAGTAGACAAATAACGTCGAAGCAAGACTTGCTAAAACTTTCAATTATTTAATGCTGTTAAGTGAGAAATAACAGAAAGGCGAAACTGTGCAATTTCTCTGCGTAATTCAACAGAAAGAATACATCAAAATTTATAAAGTAAACATTGCGGACGCTTCGTTACAAACTGTAGAGTAAGCTGCATAAAAATCTTTCGCGCGATCCGTACGGATTAAAGTTTATAAATCCACTTCTTTGTCCAATAAGTCACATGTATATTTCATAGAATATCAGCTTTTCACTAATCTTTAATTAATAATCATAATTTGCATAAATGGCTAGCATCATCTTTCAGAATATTCTATTTCATTAAAATAATCAAATATACATGAACATATGTGAATATAAAATATGTTGAATATTTAAGAGAAAATTATTTCTTACAATAACAGTTTTACGGAATATTTTAACTTTATTTTCATTTCTATCTTAAGTTCAATTTCTACGTTCATATATTTGTACGAGTACAATTAAATACTAGTAGAATAAAATAACTCTACGTAATATTTTAAATTAATGATGATAAAATAAATTAAATATAAAATAAATAATATTTATTTTATTTATAAGAGGCGAAATTTGCCTCGAAATCTTTTTGAGTCAAGATAATGAAAATTGTGAAATTTGATTCGTGATCTACTGATACTAGCACTAATCGCACTTTGATCGTCGCACGTTCAAAGGAAGAAAGTAGGACAAGCGTGTTCACGAGGAAATGCGACAAAATTCGTTTTTTTTACTGCTCGTATAGCCTCACGGCACCAGGGCGTTTCCTTGAGCAATCGTCCAGAAGGTGTAAAGTCCGCGAACTACCGGCAGTAGCCTTATCCACGCGAGACACACTTCTCGGTGTAAAACGAAAGAGGCGTCTCGGAGGGAATACAAGGCGCCGCAGCAACGACGAAGAAAAGCGTCGCTTGTACGACGAGATAGCCATCGTCGCCTTCCCTTGCATAATTTTACCGTAGCAAAGACGGGAGTGAGACCGAGGAGAGACTTCTTCTCCGTAAAAGCCGGAGACGGAGAATGACGAAGACCGCGGCTAGGAATGGAAAAGGAAAGAGAGAAAAAGACCGAAGGTAAAATACTGCTTAAATAACAGGCGCGTAATGCGCCTAGCGACGAGGGTGAAGGAGAGATTTCACAGGGTGAGATGGGGTGTCGGAAAGGAGCACGAGATAATAAAATTACACT